GACTCCGGTTGTTGTGAAAGATTAATGAAACTAAAACAAGCTGATATACCGTAAATTCATTATTCCTTGACCCTTGTCCTGTAATCTGCATTAGGTAACTGTTCATCGTGATGTGTGCGATACAGCTGAGTACGAGCATTTACTGCTGGCTCCAGGCAATATAATGGCTTATCAAGCATGTAGACTTTATATAAATTACATTCTACAGATTTATTATTGTTAAAAAGAACATAGATTAAAAATGTTGCACTTAGTATATATAATGGAATAGTTCTGCCATTAATAAAACTTCTGTCATTAGTTACTCTTTTTTTCAAATCGATTTGATTTTCTTTCTTTTGTGAAGCACAAAAGTATTATTATTGAGGAATATTCCTGCAGATTTTTCCATTTAATAAACGTGAATGGGGATGAATGCTGTCAAGCTCTAAAATAACTAAAAAGTACCATAAAAATTGTGCAGATGACTCATAAAACTAGTCCATATGACTCATGCAGCAAGTTTTCTGAAGCCACGTGATCGTGTGAGGAGCAGAACCAAATTTAATTCATTTTCTGAAAATACAGATATACGAGCTAGAGCTCCTTGATGCGTTTATGAGAGAAGAAGCAATGTCCGAATTGTAAACAAATGGTTCTTTTGGGTCTGTTCAGTGAATCAATTGATCTAGTTCACTGTATGAATGATTCATCCATGAATCTGGTTCTCAAGTTCAACTCACTGACTCTGTGATCAACTTGAAGTGCCAGAGGAGAAGATTTTCAGTTTATTCTTCACAGAAAACTATCATATAACTTCTGAAGATTTGGAATATAGTACATGAGTTAAATGGGACCATGATGCATTTAAGGTGTTTTTTTTTTCACGTCATTTTGAAGCAGCATATAATAGCAGTCTGTTGTGTCTTAGGTAAATGTAGACCTGTCTTTAATGTTAATCAAATAATGAAAAAAAATGAAAATAACTACTGAAAATAAAAACTGACTAACTTTAGGGTTAGTTTACACATCAACAAAGTAGTAAAAATTGAGAAGTTTTTTGCCTACAGACGTCAAAATTGTCAAAACATTCATGTGCAAACACTTGTGTGGTTGAATGCATTTGAACAGCCGCTAAAGACCGCCTTGAACATAACGGGACATGTTGTGAAATCCACTAGCAAGACGTGATTTAAATTTTGCCATCTGAAATCGTAAGATTGGTTTGAAGGCGAAAAAAAATGTAAAAAGCACAATATTACCAGTCCTGATTCCAGTGTTGGGGGTAACGCATTACAAGTAACGCAACTTATGTAATCAGATTACTTTTTTCAAGTAACACACTACTTTTAAATTTACAATGAGCTATCCAAGTTAATTTTTCAAATAAGTAACACAATTTGCTTTGTTTCCCCATTTATTCACAGACAGCTATCCTGTCCCCAATTGAGAGTGAGGTGCAGAGGCACTTCCTTCAGTCTGAGGCTTATTAATTTCACTTTTTGTGTGAAAGGGCCTCTACAGCTGCCAAAAATATAACTTTTTTTTTTGTTTTAAAAAGAAATATGCAAGCCCAGCCCAGGTGACAAAAAGTAACGCAAAAGTAACAATGCATTACTTTCCATAAAAAGTAGCCAAGTAATGCAATTAGCTACTTTTTTATAGAGTATTGTAATGCATTACTTTTAAAAGTAACTTTCCCCAACACTGCCTGATTCTAACACAAACCCTCAGCATATGGTGTGTTTTGCGGCTATCAGAGCAGAAACGAAAGCTGCTGCTCTCTTTATCGTTTTCTGTTGTTTCCTTTCACGTTCATCAAGCGTAGCGTTAGCTCTGGCAGGTCACGTTAGTCAAGCTCGCATCAGCTGACCTTCAGCTGATCCCCATCTACCTATGGGAATACGACACCTATCTAAGCATTCATATATAAGGTCCCTCAGTATTATCAGCAGTTTTCGCATTGCTCAATAGTTAATTACCCTCCTCCATCCCCAACTCCTCCTCTGTCAGTCGGGATTCAGCCTTCTGATTCTCCTTGAATCAGACTAATTCTAAAATGTGTACATAAAATGACTGAACTTTAACAATATCTGCAATACATTTATGTTAGTTCTGTTCTGTTTACTCTGGGGGGTTATTCTTGCCCAGAACAGAACCATACTGCCAATCCAAACTGTATGCTAATTGTCAATCATCTTTGACAATAGTGGTCCTGACAGAAATATGTAAATAGCGCGATCTTATTTAGCATTATTAGATCAAAAGATCAGAAAAAGTCCATGCATACATCCGCCCATAGGAAAGTGGTCAAAAGCGGGCAAAAGAGACATGTCACCGTTTTCACAAATTTGCATTTTTGAAGTTTACACAGAAAACGATATCAGTATCGTTTTCAAAAACTTGTATTCTAAAACCTGTTTTCAAAGTTTGCATTTTGTTTTGCAAGTTTATGATTTCAGGCTTTCTACTTCAAAAATGCATGTTTAAAGTGCCCCTATTATGGGTTATGAAAGGTTCATATTTTGGTTTTGGGAGTCCCCAACAACAGGTTGACATGCATGCAAGGTCAAAAAACACTTTCTTTTTCTTATAATGTGTATTTATTTTTACCTTATTTGCTCAATGACTCCCAAACGATTAGCTCAAAGATACATTTTTCCAAACCCCTCCTTTGCGTGACGCTAATCTGCCATGATTGGTCCGATTGGTCGATTTCATTTAAAGCAGCGTTTGTGAGCGCAGTGCTGCTTTGTGTACAGCGTTACCGGGGAAATGGCTATTTTTAACGCTCCAAAAAAGTGGCACCTAGTGACAAAGAAGGAATTTGCATTTTCATTCAGACCAAAGCGAAAATCAAGTTTTCCCAGGTCTGCGCGCGCAACAAGTGGGCGGGCAATATGCTAATGTTTCATGTTGACGTCAACATGAAACCGCTTGGAATTAGTTTTAAAAACAACTCGTTTAAATGATTCAGAGTCGACTCTTTCTTTTGAGAGACAATAACTTTATACACGGTGCACTTTCAGATTTAAAACTTTGCAGGGTGTTTTCTCTCACAGCTCTCTTTGCAGAGCTGTATTCACACTGCATGAAAGGTAATTTTCAAAAATCCATAATAGGGGCACTTTCATTCAATGTGTTACTTGCCTATTCTTTGTGGTTCCTTGTAAAATTTACTAGAAAACAAACAAACAAACATGATTTTCCCTAATCAATCAGCTCCATAAGAGTGACAGAATTTTCTTTTTTGGGTGAACTATCCCTTTAAATTGTACAACATGCATACAGTTTTGGACTCAGGCACTGAGAACAATAAAGAATTCTAATAAGAGCTGAATTATATCTGTAATAATACCAGTACTATCTCGCCTATAAAGGCCGGAGAGATTCAGAGCAGCTAAATATCCGATGGAAACGAGGAGGAATGGAGAGATAAAGAATGAGCCGGGACAAAACAGCAGTGAGTGAGAGTGTCTGGAGGGTTGAAATGCTTGATCTAACTCTCTGTTGTTTATTCACACTACACCGCTTAACCGCTGTAATCCAAAACACACTGCATTCACATAGTTAACCGGTTTATAAGCAGCAGGATAATCAATTGCACCTCCTTCCCCGCGGATCTCCGCTGACTAATAATGGTGCTCCGGATGAATTATTCAGCTGCTGGGGCGGCGCACATTGTGTCCTACTTTGCATTTGCTTTGCTGACACCTGCTGGTACATCAATAACAGACGCAATCAGGGCTCAGGTCTCTTTAGGACACCTTGATAGTGCACTAAAAACTTTTAATGCTCCTCTCACAGTTTAACGGGACTTTGCCCTGACTCGTTGCCCTTTTGTTGTTATTTGATTAGCTGCAGTCATTTCGCCACTGTCTCGTCTCGTTCACAGCTGAGCCGTTTAAATAAATAATTAAAATAAATGTGAATAAATTAATTTAACATGACAAGCAAATAAATATAAAAATATCCCAACTAAATTGAAAATAAATAAAAATAATAGAAAAATATATAAAATAAAAATACCAAAAAACAAGTCAATTAATATGAAAACAAATACAAATGGTATTAAATAAACAAACAAACAAAACAAATAAGAAAACAAACAAACACATTTTTATTTGATTTTTAACATCCATTTCTTGACTTAATATTTCATTGAACTTGCTAAACAAACTTATATGCATGCACGTATAAACATGCAAAACAACAAAATGACTAGATAGTTGCCTGAATTAAATATGCAACAGTGTGTGAATGGAGCATAAGAACAAAGTAAAGTGAAAGTTCTTTGCAATATGACGAATAATGTTTTCATAATTTGCTCCACCTCTGAACAAATTTTCCTCACGGCCTAATGTCCCGAATCCATCTTAATTTAACCCATCCCCATCAAAAACCCCATCTAGTCATGTTAAGCCCCACGGGTTCCCAGTTGCTCTCCTCCATTCTTGGGAAAGAGGCGAGTATTTCCTCTTCAGAAAGAGCTCAAAAACAATTCCCCACAGTGGGATCTAAACGACTGTGCTGCGGGAAGCCTTTGATGAATTCTTCAGCTTTTAGAAGGAGACAGAATATAACTGTATGGGACGACCCGAGGGAAAGCCCCATTCTCGTTGGGAAAACGCTGCACCCCACTCACACAAGCCCTCCAGAGACCAGAGACACGGCTAACAAAACCCAGTGGGGCTTATTCACAGATTAACACGATGTTTGGAGTGGCTGGGGTTTCTTACAGCTCAAATCCTGCTGTCATTTACTGCTGCCTAAGGAGCAGTTCACCATAAAAAAAGAAAGTCATGTACTTACCCTCATGTTGCTTCTCTATTTGATTTTTCTCTGAAACACAAAAGGAGACAAAAGTCAAAGCACTGTCACTTCACTGCTAACGCCATTTTACTGTTGTACAGAGAGTGAATGGGTGCCGTCAGAATGAGAGTCCAAACAGTTGATAAAAACATCACAATAATTCACAAGTAATCCACACCACTCCAGTCCATCAGTTAACATCTGGAGAAGACTAAAGCTGCGTGTTTGTAAGAAACAAATCCGTTATTAAGACGTTATTAACTTCAAAGCAAAATATGAGTCCATAATCCAGTGAAAAAGTTCATCTCCTGTTGCCATCCACATATTTGTTTAGAGCTGTTTTGGACTGTGCTTGATCTGTGCAGTTTTCTTTCCCGATTCAGATGAGACTTTTTTTTTTTCTTTTACTGGAGGAAGCGTAAAACTCATATTGGACTCATATTTTAGCAGCAGTTTGCAGCAATGGTTTGATGTTAAAATGCCTTAATGATCGATTTGTTTCTTACAAGCACGCAGGTTTTGGCATCAAAAGATTTTAACTGATGGACTGGAGTGGTGTGGATCATTGTGATGTTTTTATCAGCTTTTTGGACTCTCATTCTGACGGCACCCATTCACTGCAGAGCATCCACTGCTGAGCAAGTGATGGAATGCTACATTTCTCCAAATCTGATGCGATGAAAAATTAAACATTTCTACATCTGGGATGGTCTGAGGGTGAGTAAATTCATATCAGATTTTTTTTTTTACTTGTATTTTTAATCACCCATTTTGTAATGTACAGTATTGACGCACTGTAGAGTTAATAAAGAGTGATGAGCTCTCATTGGTTGAGGAAAAGGTAACATTCAGTGATCCCCTTCTTCAATCATATCGTGCTGCAGATCTTAAATGCCTTTGATTTAAACCCTGTTTATTCTCGCCGGTCTCTTAATGCCTCAGGACAGGAACAAAAATCACTTTCAACTACACAACAACAAGGGGCTTTGACTCCCAGCACGACTGCCTCCGTTAAGAAGAACAGGCAGGTGCCATTTCAGGCCACCCGGTCGCCGTTGTTTAAAACATTAATTGCTTTTTGGTTTTAATGCGGTTTGCCATTTAAAATGTTAATTGCTTTTTCCTCTGAAAGGACTCGGTGACATTACACAAGGAGTCACTGGCTCCAGTGTCAGCTCTACTTCCATCAATAAAGGACAAACATTTGCACTCCTGCGCGTGACAGCTGAGACGATTTAATCTCCCACAAATCTGACAAGATTCAAATATTGAGCTAAATGAATCAGTTCTATTACTAACATTAAAACGATATATTTAAAACAAACAACAGATGGCTTTAATCTGATCAAGGGCTTGTGGATGCCCCCTTCTGTGTGACATTTGATGGAGATTTTTAACAGAATCCCGCCAGCCAATGACAGCCAAAGTCAGGAGCTCATGGACTGTTTTAGGAAATGTTTACACAATTGTCACGATCTCTATGGGAGGAACGAGGAGATGCAGGAGAATACTTCAACATAGATTTATAATCCAACAAGCAAGGGGTAAATACAGGAACTCAAGGATGACATATAACAGCGGACTCAGACTCAGGGAAACACAGGGTTTAAATGCAAGGGGAAAATGAGATAATTAATCAAACACAGCTGGATACAGATTAACACAACGAGGACAGGAACCGGAAACGTGACCAAAAAAGGACAAACAGGAACTAAACGGGAACATACACGTGACAACTGTTTAGTCAACATTATTATTATTATTATTATAAACCTTTTTCACAGGCAATTTAAGATGTAGATGAGTTTGTTTCTTCATCAGATTTGGAGAAATGTATCATTCCATCACTTGCTCAGCAATGGATCCTCTGCAGTGAATGGGTGCCGTCAGAATGAGAGTCCAAACAGCTGATAAAAACATCACAATAATCCACAAGTAATCCACACCACTCCAGTCTATCAGTTAACATCTGGAGAAGACAAAAGCTGAAACAAATCCAGCATTAAGATGTTTTTTAACTGCAAACCGTTGCTTCAGGCTAAAATACGACTCCATAATCCACACTATTGGTTTATGGACTTGTATTTTGGCTGGAAGCAATGGTTTGGAGTTTAAAGTTAAAATGTCTTAAACTTGCAGCGTTTCACTTCTCAAGACATTAACTGATGGACTGGAGTGGTGTGGATTACTTGTGGATTATTGTGATGTTTTTATCAGCTGTTTGGACTCTCATTCTGACGGCACCCATTCACTGCAGAGCATCCATTGCTGAG